AAGGATCCGGTCCACAAGACCTTTAGGCAATCGGTTACTGGATTTTTCGACACTGCTTGGCGCCTCTCCCCCAAGTTGCGAGCCCAGCTTGCCCGTGGTTGGCGTTTAGCTTTTGCCACCATCTCTAGCAAGCCCCGCCGTTGGCATTATGCTCGAGGCCCCTTGAGCAACTTGATCTGCATTTTGCAGGACTTGAGTTGGTCTGCCCCTGACATCCAAGAATGGTTTCATCCGGACGGTCGGTCCTTCTCGGTTGACTTGCTCTCCCCCCTCGTAGGCGCTGAGCTTCTGTCCCAGCTGCTGTGGCGTACCAAGGGGGACAGGGTTTAGAACACGGCGGTGACCTCTCAGTTGCCAAACGGTTTTTGAAGTCACTGCGTGATTCGAAGGAGGACTACCGTGCCGCTTTATGCATAGTTCAGGGTTCGCTTCCTAGTAGCTCTAACGGTTGCCTTGAATCATGTCCCTTTTGTGGTAGCACGCCTACTCTGCACCATCTTTTGTATGAATGTAGTCACCCTAATGCGCGCCTGCTGAGTGGGTAAATTCTGCCAAAGATCCCGAACAACAGTGTTTCTGGCTTCGTGGTATCATGCCGAGCGCTGGGACATCCCTCAGAGATTCGGTGCGTGATGCACTGAATGGACACTCTGAGGTCGGAGGTTAGTGGCTCCAGTCTGAACAGTTAGATGGTTCTTCCTTCTATTTTGGAGCTGATGCTAGTGGAGGATCACAGCAACGGGACCCCCGTGTTAGGATTTGTTCTTGGGGTATTTCGGCCGTGTCTTTAAACAGTGAGGGGCATTGGGAGTGCATTGCCCACAGAGGTGGGGTCCTTCCTGGTAAAAAGCAAACTGTTCCCCGTGCTGAATTGTTTGCGATTACACAGCTCATCAAGCACACCACCGGTGCAACCCAATTCTGCAGCGTCTCACAGCTCAACATGAAGCTCTTTCGGAAGCTGGTTGCCAAACGTAGGGTGAAAAGTAGCTGGTCCAACCCTGATCTGTGGCTCCAGGTTCAAGAGGCCCTGCTCGGTCGTTGGCTTCGGGGTTCATGGGTTCGTTCCCATCGCTCACTGCCGGAGTTTGAATCAGAATTCGGCTCTGACCTGCGGTGGGCGTACACCGCCAATGAGCACGCCGATAGCACGGCTGGCAAGGTAAGTAAGTGGTTAGACTCTAGGCATAACCTTAGCACTTGGGGCGATATTTTTCGTACTAGCGATGCCCGTTGTTGGAAGGTGCTTCGTTTCCTTACCACTAGAGCCAAGCTACTTCTCCAGACACCGCGGAGCCCTAAGCCTTATGGCCCCCGGGCTCGCCACTAGCGCGGAGTTTTTAGCTCATCTTCCCCAACTTCACCCTCAGCATAGTTGGCATCACTTTCCTGGTGCTACTTTCTCGCGATGCGCCCTTTGTGGACTTAAAGTCCACGGGAGCCGAAGGGGTCGGGGGCTCGCCGCGCTCCCGTGCTGTCGGACCACCATGGACTGGGTTAGCTTAGGTGTTCATCCCTCGCACGAGTTAGATTTTCGGGGGCCGATACAGGGCCGGCAGTGTAGGTATTGCAAGCTGGTCATACGACTGCATGGTGGTGAGAGTTCCTGGCAACGCTTGGCTAGGGTGTGTCGTAGGTCCTGATGCCTAGGCAGTACAGTACAGCTCTGCTGAGTTTTCAGTCAAAAACCACGAGTCGTCGACGCATATTGGACACGTCGCACTTCTCCGAAAAAGAGGTTTTTGTCGAGCGTTTGGGGTGCGGCCTCCTTCAATGGTGTTTCAAAGGAAATCGTCGGCAGATACAGAAGCGAAGCGATTCTGTGCTTCGGAGACCAAGCAATTGCGCATTGTCTCGGCTCTGTACGACAATGGCATTCTCCGTGGCCGAGCTCTGCAGCCGACTTTTTTGGTAAGATCAAGTACACTACACGTCTTCGCGACGCTATCAAAGGTCCCATGCCTCGTGATGGCATTGATGTGGATAAGCTACCTCGGTGCATTCTTCGCTCAGATGGACCTGAGCTCGTCAGACTTGCAGACGTCCGCAAGTCGAAGACGCTGCGCCGAGTCGGCAATCTGTACTACGACCGTCGGTTTGCCGAGGCTTTCCTCCATGCGGCGGCGGCAGGACACGGCTCACTGTCAAAGATCCAGATGCATTTCTTAGAAGGGAGAACTGGCTTCGCTTCTTCCTCGTGGCCAGGCTGACTTCTGGAAGAACGTGATGGAGGATTTGACGTACTCCGAGTTCAAGTACATCAGTATCGACGCCACATTCAAGATCAATCTGAAGATTCTCGGACAAGCCTCCTTTCAGACGTCTAAATCGGCAGGAAGTGCGGCCATTATTCCAGAGGAGGACGCCGCCTACCGGACCTTTACATGTCGCGGTCGAACAGGTGCAACCCTAGCTCTCTGTGGCATTCTCTCGGAGAAGGCTCGCTTCGTGGCTAAGGTTCTGGCGCGTGAATACAACAAGCCAGCAGGTGATCCACGTCGCATCGGACGCGCCATCGTCCGAACTCCTCGTGGTCCTAAAGAAAAAGTTCTACCGAACTTGCGGACTTGCGGAGCCTCTCCCTGGACGCCGCGCATATTGTGATGGTATATGATCAAAACACCAACAACAAGCGAGCGCATCCTGCGCGAACCGCCGCCTCACGCGGTGCTTTCTTTGATGGTTCCCAGGTCCCGACAGCCACCCCGGATGTCAGAGCAATGCGGCATCGTTTGGATGATCCAGATATGTCGGAAGAAGCCTCGCGGAGATTTCTGGAAAACATCAATCCGGACGAACCCTGGCAGACTGAAGTGGATTTTCTTGAAGCTCTTGCTGCTCATGCTTCATTTTTTTGGGATGACTTGCAGAAAACCACCTACTCCGGCGTCACTTTCCGCCGCCTCACTTCTAGTATTGCCAGTGCTGTGAAGTTCCAGTGGCTCCTGAACGAGATATCGACATTCGGTAGATCGCCGGGAACTGGCTTTGCTTCCCGGTGGGACCACCTCGAACGAAAGCCTTCATCATGAGCTTAACACGTGGTTCCGGGAGACAGCCTCTTATCTGCATTCTCGGGACGTTGCCCGGCATTTTCTTCTGACTGTGGGACTGCAGCCGAGGCGCATATCCACAAGTCTGCGTTTCATCTCAAGCTGAGCCTCTTTTTATTTAACTGATGCTGCATAATCAGGCTCTGTACAACCCCACGCAACAGCAGGTCACACAATCTGCACTTGTGCACAGAGCCCTGCAGGG